GGAGAAATATCAATAACCTCAGATATGCAGATGACACCACCCTTATGGCAAAAAATGAAGAAGAACTAAAGAGCCTCTTGATGAAAGTGAAAGAGGAGAGTGAAAAAGTTGGCTTAAAACTCAACATTCAGAAAACTAAGATCATGGCATCTGGTCCCATCACTTCATGATAAATAGATGGGGAAACAGTGGCAGACTTTACTTTTGGGGGCTCCAAAATCACTGCAGATGGAAACTACAGCCATGAAATTAAAAACACTTGCTCCTTGGAAGAAAAGCTATGACCAACCTAGACAGCATATTTAAAAGCAAAGACATTACTTTGCCAAAAGAGGTCCATCTAGTCAAAGCTTTGGTTTTCCCAGTAGGCATGTATGGATGTGAGAGTTGTACTATAAAGAAAGCTGAGCACTGAAAAATTTATGCTTTTGAACTGTGGTGTTGGAGAAGACTCTTGAGAGTCCCTTAGACAGCAAGGAGATCCAGCCAGTCCATCCTAAAGGAGATCAGTCCTGTGTGTTCATTGGAAGGACTTATGCTGAAGCTGAAATTCCAATAATTTGGCCACCTGATGTGAAGAGCTGACTCATTTGAAAAGACTCTGATGCTGGAAAGATTGAAGGAGGGAGAAGAAGAAGATGACAGAGGATGAGATGTTTGGATGGCATCATCGACTCAATGCACATGAGTTTCAGTAGGCTCTGGGAGTTGGTGATGGACAGGAAAGCATGGCGTTCTACAGTACATGGGGTCGCAAAGTGTCAGACACGACTGAGCAACTGAACTGAACTGAACTGAACTGCATATCTATAAAAGGGAACCATGGATTTGACAGGTGAAAGAAGATAATTACTGCAACCAAGTAATACAGTAGGTGAAAAGAGGGCAGGATTGCCCTTTACTTGCTGCTTCACTTGCCAAGTAATGGGCAAGATTTGAGCAAAGGTAATCTGGCAGATGATGTGTTGCCTGAAGAATCCACTGAACTTCTCTTGCTCTGTAACAAGTTTACTCCAGGCCATGTGATTTTAAAGATTTTATCTAAGATACTGCTGGTGGCCATGTTGGTGCAATGAGACCCTAGGGCTGGATGGACACCCACCCCCAGCTCTCACAAATGCTTAGCGACCTCTGTCAGCAACAAAAACTGGCAGGTGTCTCAGACCACAGCCAAGCTCAGAGAAGTCTCCCGAGCAAGCAAAGGAATCAACATGGTTGAGTTTGCACCTTTGTTTGTGCCACTGGAACACAGGCTGCAGACCTTAGCAGTCCTGAAGTGGATCTTCAGTTTCTTGGCCCTGTGTAAGGAAAGCTGAGATGGGACTGGGAGGCTATGGGCACCTGCCACTTCAGGTGCACATGGTGCATTGATGGGGAAAGATACAGGGCCCAAGGCTGAATCTAGTGCCTGGGGGTCATCTGGGATGAGGGACATCTTGCTCACATGGCCTTGGGGGTGTTTTGCCATCAGGAGTGTCTCTGACTGTCCATGCCCACCTCACCCAGCCTAGGACCTGGGAGTGTCTGGAGGAGGATAGAGAGTCAACTAACCCTGGGACTGGAGCTAGAAAGAGGGAAGCTGAGAAAAGGCATCCGGACCCTCTGATGCCAGGAACAGATGCTTGTCCCTTATCCCAAGGCAAAGGGGATCCCCAAGATGGCCTTAGGAACAGGAGTGACATGGTCCAATCTGTGGGTGACAAGCTGTAATTTAGGGATCTTCTGTGTTGGGGTGTTGGGGGAGAGAGATGACAGCAAGCAGTTGTTACCAAATCAAATTTGTTCTGCTGTGGGAACACAGTAAAGCCCCTCTACTGACACTGGGTTGTGGTGAAAGAAAGTTCAGGTTTTACTACAGGGCCCAAGAAAGGAGTCCAGAGAATTAAGGCTCAAAATGCCTGAAACCCCTTTGATTACCAGGGAATGGTGTCTAGAGACTGGGTGAGGTAGAGATTCTGGGTGCATGATCAGCTCCTAGAGAATGGTCTGATTGCTGGATGGTGAGGTAACTTGGAGTCACCATCATCAACTTTCTGGTTTCCCCTGGTCTGAGGTCTATGGGATGGTGAGCAACTTCCTCCAGCTGCTGGGGGATCAGTATCTGCCAAACCATTCAAATGAGTCTCAATATTATCTATGGCTCTTGGGAACAAGCTAACAGTCTTTGAAATTTTGGAATGGTTAAACTGTTATTTATTTTCTTGCTTGACTGTTTTCTTTTCGTCTTTATGATTTCTCTTAATAATATCATTTTTGAAATTTAGCAAAGGCTTAGGAGGATGAAGATTTTCTACAAATAAGAGGCAGGCAGAGGACATGAGGGATATTTTCCAGGAAGGCTGCATAGGTCCTGCTTGATTACAAGGTTACAATCTACAATAAGGATCACTACATAGACTCATGGGTGAAAACCAGCCCCCTGGTTTTTTTTGTATTTACAGCCTGTGAGCGAAGAATAGCTTTTACATTTTGTTTATTTTATTTATTTTTTTTTATAGTTCAATATTTTTTTCCCAATTATTTTTATTAGTTGGAGGCTAATTACTTTACAATATTGTAGTGGTTTTTGCCATACATTGACATGAATCAGCCATGGATTTACATGTGTTCCCCATCCCGATCCCCCCTCCCACCTCCCTCCCCATCCCATCCCTCTGGGTCTTCCCAGTNAAAAGCAAAAATAAACAAATGGGACCTAATGAAACTTAAAAGCTTTTGCACAACAAAGGAAACTATAAGCAAGGTGAAAAGACAGCCCTCAGATTGGGAGAAAATAATAGCAAATGAAGCAACAGACAAAGGATTAATCTCAAAAATATACAAGCAACTCTTGCAGCTTGTCCCTACAATGAACTGCTATTAACAACTTGGTTCTGTTCTCTCGACCAGGATAGTTCTTGTTTCATGGGTACAGAGGTTCAGTTTAGGAAGATGAAAAGAGTTCTGAGATAAAGGCTGGTATAGTTATACCACAGTGTGAATCAATTTAATGCCGCCAAACTGACTCTCAAAAACCATTTCAAGTATATGCCCAGGAGTGGGAATGCTGGATAGCATGGTTGCTCTATTTAATTTTATAAGAAATCTCCATACTTTTCTCCATAAGACCTCTTTTATGAGCCCATAATTTGAAAAGATAGAAGCATCCCAATGTTCATAACAGCACATTTACAATAGCTAGGACATGGAAGCCACCTAAGTATCCATTAGAGTAATGGATAAAGAATATGTGGTAATATAGGTAATGGAATATTACTCAGTCATAAAAAGGGACAAATTAAGGCCATTTTCAGTAACACATATGGACCTAGAGTTTGCAAAACTGAGTGAAGATACAGCCAAAGAAAGACAAATATCACTTATATGCAGAATCAAAAAAGAGGTAAATAAGTACAAATGTACCTATTTACAAAACAGAAGCAGAAAAAAAGCTTTATGGTTACCAGGGGATAAGGGGGAAGGATGAATTGGGAGATTTTGTTTAACAAATAACACTACTGTATATACAAAAGGTAACATAAAAACCTGCTGTATATCACAGGGATCTCTACTTAGTGCTCTGTAATGATCTATATGGGGAAAGAATAAAAAGAAAAGTCAGAGTGGATATATTTATATGTATAACAGATTTTTTCCCTATACACCTGAAACTAATACAACATTGTAAATGAACTATACTTTATTGAAAACTTTAAAAGAAAATACTGAAGAGTCATTTTGATGATAAGTATTGTGTTAAATATATTTTACCACCATAAAAATTAAATAACCAAACAAAGTACCCCAAACACATCACTGAAGTCAGCACCATGAGGGCAGGAACTCCTGTCCATTGTTCACAGCTGTACTACCAGCACTTGGCACATTGTAGGTACTCCATAGAAAGCGAGCTTCTGTGAGCCCCAAACTACTTTAATAAGCATTTTGCTATGCTCAGACTGGGCTTCCCTGGTGGCTCAGCAGTGAAGAATTTTCCTGCAGTGCAGTAGCTGCAGGAAATGTGAGTTCGATCCCTGGGTCTTGAAGATCTCCTAGAGGAGGGCATGGCAACTCACTCCATTGTTGCCTGGAGAATCCTCTGGACAGAGGAGCCTGGTGGGCTACAGCCCATAGGGTTGCAAAGAAGCAATTTACCACACATTCAAGTACTATGCAGACTGGGTCAGAAGTCTCCTCTGGGAACTTGGCCATGAATGACAGGCCCAGTTTACCCTACTTTCAAATAGACTACAAGTGGAGGTTGACCTTTAAGAGTATGAGCACATAGTGTTGAGTGTAGGGAATGGAATGGAAAAGATGCAGTATTCTCTAACAGTGAGGCTCCATTGGCATCAGATTAAAGACAGCCCCACAGACCACCTCACCCTGAGTCAAAGCTGAGATTAGCCTGTGAAAAGGACTCAGAATCTTAAATCTGGGAGAAATTCCTCACTGCAACTGCTCCTAGAACTGCTGCACTCCTGATGATCAGGCCAGGCATGAGCAGCCCTCTTCCTCCCTCTCTCCTTCACCAGGACAGGGCCTAGCAGCAGAGGAAAGAGTTCAGTGTAAATTAAAGAGCTCAGGGAGTTGTATCCACACTGAGGAGATTAATATGGCCAGAATATGGGGTATAGGCAGGTGAGTGAGGCTGGAGTAAAAGGAGTCTGACCAGCAGTAGGGAGCTTGAGGCCAGGCTGAACTGCTTGAGCTGAGCCTCAGAGTTATGAGAAGTTATGGGCGGACTTTAACTAAAGCGGGGATATACATTTCCCTGTGGTTCAGACAGTAAAGCGTCTGCCTACAATGTGGGAGACTCAGGTTCAATCTGCAAAGAGTTGGACGTGACTTCACTTTCACTTTCATGGTGGAATTATCTGTGGAAAGATGGGCTGGGGTTAGGACAGGAAGTGTACTGGCTAGAAAGAATATCTTTTCTCTGGAGTTCTAAAGAATGGATACCAGAAAGAGTTTATCCTGTTACATCTCCACCAGGCATTTATTGAGCACCTAGTGAATCCAGTGAAGGAGATGGAGGGGCAAGAACCAGTGAGAAAGCAGTCTGCTGCAGTGGGAAAATGCGAATTTGAATTTAGGCCAACTCCAGACTCTCAATGTGACACTGGTGGTGTTGACTGCATTCTCTCCTTCTTAAAGCCTTGGGAAGCTGATCTCTTCCTCCTAGGGTGAGGACTGGACAGGACAGTGCAGGCTGGGCATAAAGGAAAGCTCGTTCCTTCACACCACTGACCACTAATTGTTCCTGCTCCCCTTCCCAGATTTTATCTGCTATGTGGTCTTCATAGGCCTCCTGTTCACAAGATTCTGGATGATCAGCATCCTATATGCAATCTAGTGGTACCTGGATCTAGACACACCACAGCAAGGGGGCAGGCAGAGTGCTTTCATAAAGCACTTGACCTTACGGAAGTACACGAAGGACTATTTCCCCATCTCAGTGAGTATGGGGCTGACTAGGGAGTGGTCAGTACCACAGTCTCCACGTGTCTTTGGGGAAGTGTGACACTGTGTGCAGTGAGCAGAATACTGGGCTGGGAGACAGGTGACAGGCTCTCACCACTATGTGGCTAGAGGAAGAGTCAGTTTCTGTCTGATTATGGTTCTCCAACTTCAGTGAGGTGAGGTCACTATGAGGACTGATGAATGTACAAGATTTGAGTAATGTTGTAAGCCATGTAGTGCAGCACACTTAAGTATCTTACAGGTGTAAAACCTTCAGTAGTCCAAGTTTGGAGTGAAGGAATCTGTAGTAAACATAAATTTTAAGACAGTATCTAGACCACACTTTATAAGATGATGAGTCTGACATCCAGTGAAGGAGGAAGGTATGAGCAAGGATACAGAGCAGGTTCTTTTACTGCTTTTAAGGTTTGTGTATTAGCTTTGAGGATAGAAGCAGAACAGAGAGGCCTCAGGATATATCCTGCCCCAACTCTAATATGCTGTGTTTCCTTGGACAGAGCTTTGCCCATTCTGAATCTCAGTTTCCCCATGGATCCACAAAACAGTCTGATTACTCCTCTTCTGCCTATTTCTTAATCTCTGGTCTCTGACTCTGGGTACCTCATGTCCATTTTTGATACTTACTCTGGCCCCAAGTATCAGTCCTTAGTGATACAGCCCCTGAATTTGAGTGAACAGATCTTTGGCTCCTTTCCTAAATCTCAGACAGACTAAACCCTTGGATGTAAGCAGCTGTGATGATTAATTGTCCAGTGGGGACAAGAAGGGGAGTGCATTTGGGACACAGAGAAGTGCCAGGCAGGGACAAGTGGCTTTCCTTAGGACACAGGAGAGAAGAATATATAGTCTTCTGTGTATCTGATGTCTGAAGACACATATTCGATGTCTGAAGGTGGACAACAAACGTTCTAACACAGGGTCTGCAACATGCCAGCTGTATGACTTTGAGTGAGTTATACATGCTCCTCAAGCTTCAATTTTTTCCTGTGTAAAGTGGAAATGCTGCCACATACATCATTGGGTTTTGTGGATTCCATAAGACATTAGGTGATCCTGGGGCTTCTAAGGACAGCATCTGGTACTCTTTTCACACCTGGAGATGCTCTCTGGCTCTATTTCACACCTGGAGCTGCTGTCAACTGCATCTCTGGCAGAAAAATTGTGTGGGATGGCTCTGTGTCTGTGTCATCTATATCTCTTCTGTCCCTCCTCTAGCTAGGTATCTCCCCTGGAGGTTTTGTCAGTTGGGCACTATTGAAATTTTGGGGAAATGAACCTGATTTGCAATAATTCCACCTGCACAGAGTTTGGGATTGCTGCCCAGTGCAGGCCTTTGTCATCAGCACCTGCAGAAGGCAGAGAAGATGGAGGGAGAGATGACATGTGCTTTGATGCCTCTGTCCTGGACTGAGGTCTGCAGGTGGCACTGTGACTGGCAAACCCTGTATGCGAGACAGCAAAAGAGACACAGATGTATAGAACAGTCTTTTGGACTCTGTGGGAGAGGGTGAGGGTGGGATGATATGGGAGAATGGCATTGAAACATGTAAATTATCATATGTGAAATGAATCGCCAGTCTAGGTTTGATGCATGATACAGGGTGCTTGGGGCTGGTGCACTGGGATGACCCAGAAGGATGGGAAGAGGAGGGAGGTGGGAGAGGGGTTCAGGATGGGGACACATGTACACCCATGGCAGATTCATGTCAATGTATGGCAAAACCAATACAATATTGTAAAGTAAAATAAATAAATAAAACTGAAGAAAATAAAAAAGAACTCCCAAGTCATCAACACACTTGAGAAGCAAGCCTTGCAGAGATCTTAAGGCAGCAGGAGATAGGGGGCCAGGGAGTCTCTGCTGTCTCCTGAAAAGATACACACAACCTAAAAGTTATGAGGGGCTTTGTTCTGAGCCCTTACGAAGGACAGTAGTCAGGAGATAGCCTCTCAGTAATCTCTGAGGAGCTGTTCCAAAAGGTAAGGGAGAAGTCAGGATTTATGGGGTTTTGCTGAGAAAAAAAAAAGTATGTAGTTAAACATCAGAAGATTAATGCCCAGCAGAGAGCAAACTCAAATGTTATTAATGGTTTTCTACATATGGAGAGATGAAAATCTGGGCTCACTGCAATTATTCCTTTGATGTGCATCCTCACCAGTATCCTATTTTTCTCCATCCTGAATTCCTTTCAAGGTCCATTGTCAGTGGCAGCTACAGTGGCTGCTGGTTTGAAGGCAAGCAAGCAACATTCCTTGTCCTAACAACTCTACTGAAGCTACTCCACATCACAAGTCTTTGCACTCTATGACTCTTACTCTAGAGCTGCCTCCTAATAGTAGTTTCTAGTGAAATTAGGAGACTATGTCTGAGCATTGAAACTTGCTAGACACAACCTATGGGCTTCCTGAACAGCTAGTGGTGGAGAAGCAGATAGTGTTTTCCCCAGGACAAGCTGCTTCCACCTCATGCTGAAGTTCAGTCCAGGAGCTGGGTTTCTATGGGAAGATTTCATATCCCAGAGCAGCAGTATCTACACAGACCAAGGCCTGAGCAGGGATGTAGTGCTGTGGGCAGGCTGTGACCAGGTGTTAAGAAGTGCTGCAGACTTGGCAGGATACCTCCCTGAGCCCTCCCCTCCCATCACTAGGGACTTGTGCCCCTCTTCGCCACCCCCACTTCCCAGCACATTGGGATCTCTTACACTGAGTCACAGGGATTCAGGGGTCAGCCCTCCACCCAGGACTGAACTCCAGCTGCCACAGTTCTCGGAGAGATGCTCACCCCTTCCTGCAATGGTTCCTTCATTCTGTGCAGGTTCTGCCTGGGACAAGGTCTCCCTTCACGTAGGACAGGGGTTTGTGTCCCCGTCACCCTCCCAGGAGTCTTGCCTCTGCCTTGTGCAGGGGGGCTTCCTTCCCTGGTGGGCTGTATCAGCTTCATCCATTCATGGGTCTGCTCTCTCCCTCCTCATTCCATGGTCTCCCAGAGCATCTCCTCTGCTCCAGGCCTGCACCAGGAACAAGGATGTTCAGACAGGCCGTCTCTAATCTCAGGACACTCACATGGGGATGAGAAAGCTCTTGGGCACAGGGGGCACATAAAAGAGGTCAGCACAGAAAGTCAGCAGGTGGACCAGCAATGGCACAAGATGAAGCTCTGATTCACCAGGTTTCTGTTCCTTCAGCTGGTCAAGACCACAGAGCTGGACCCCTCCCAGAACTACCTTGCTGGCTTCCACCCTCATGGAAATGGGGTGATTGGAGCTTTTACCAACTTGTGCATGGAGAGCATGGGCTTCTCCTCAGTTTTCCCAGGCATCTGCTCAAATTTGATGATGCTGAACATGTGGTTCTGGTTCCCTTTCTTCAGGGATTATGCCATGTCAATGGGTGAGTCCTCCTACTCTAGGTATCCCAGGAATTGTGAGGGCTGAAGGCATGAGGAGGGATTTTAAGGAGGGCGGTCAAATATTCTGTACTTCTTCCAAGTGAATGTGTGGTAGACAAGGAGTTGAGACCCAAAGAAGCATTTCCCACAGCTCTGTGCTCAATGATGAATGTGGAGGGAGAGTTGGGAAAAGGGATAGTGCTCAGTGCCTGTCATCATGGAACTGCCAGCTGAGGTCTAAAGTAGAACCCAGGCCACATGCTCCTGAACCATCTTTTCCTCCTTTACACTATATGTGACTACCTTCCTCTCTCCCCAGGGCTGGTCTCATCAGACAAGGAGAGTGCTCTTCACATTCTGAGGAGGAAAGGAAGCAGCAACCTGCTGTCCATCATTGTTGGGGGCGTCAAGGAAGTACTGAATGCCAGGCCTGGAGACTACAAGCTGGTGCTGTGGAACCGCAAGGGCTTCATCAGGCTCACCCTGATACATGGATATCGGGAAGAGGGTTCCGAGTTTAGCTGGATATTGGTAAGGATTGTATTTTGGAGGGAAGACTGCAGAGGCAAATGCAGATTCTATTTTGGCAAGGAGAATCTCAATCCACTGACAATGAAGAGTCTGTCTTGGTGATCAATGTACTGTTTCATGCCCAAATACCCAGAGATGATTCTAGAAGAAAGATTTTGTGACTAAAGGATTAAGTCTCATGGATTATATTGCTGAAAGCTTGTGTTACATTTGAGACCTAGGGAATTTGGGTGAATGGAGTTTGGGGCATAGCTTGGAGCTGTCTCTCATCTTAAAATATCTGTAAAGAAAAGAAACAAGCCAGAGCCAAAGAGATTTTTCCAGAAATTTTGCAGTTGTTTTATACCTGTGACATTTCTTGGCAGTATTCTGGTCTCCCTGTTTATGTAACTGGGAAGGGTTAATTTTGAATTTATGCTGGATCTGCTTCTGTGCCTTAAACCCTCATCTTGCAGCTGTTGTTGGTGTTCAGTTGAGCTAAGTCACTCAGTTGTGTTCAACTCTTTGTGATCCTATGGACTGCAGCAAGCCAGGCTTCCAGAGCTTGCTCAAACTCATATCCATTGAGTCGGTATGCCATCCATCCTCTAGCTAGCATTACTTTGCTAGTGTGTGAGATGAGTGCAACTGTGTGATAGTTTTAACATTCCTTGGCATTGCCTTTCTTTGGGATTGGAATGAAAACTCCACTTTGTTAGTGTAGGCACACATAATGGCCTGCCTAAGGGAGATAACCTGAGCCACCCACCTGTGAAGGATTGCAAGGAAGTGAAACTAACACATTCCTCTACCTGAAATTTACCATTTTAAGGGATGTTTGCAAGGATCAAATAGTATTTTTACTTTGTCTCCTCACTTCCTCCCCATCTCTGATCCATTAAAGAACCTGGCAACCAGGCCCTGACAAGATGGTTATTTTGAGGTGCTAGCCTGACATTTTCTCAGTCAGCCATCTCCTGAAAAAGCCCCTTCCTCATCCCAACAGTACGTCTCAGATTCGTTGGCCTATCTTTCAGCAAGCAGAATGAGCTTGTACTTGGTAACAATCCCACTGCCAGTTAGTGGCCCTGAGAGGAGCCATGACCTGCCTGAAATCATAAAACTAGGCCTTGGCAGACCTGGGAGACACCTGAGGCCTCCTACTTTTGGTCCAGGGCTCTGTCCTCTGCTTGAGTTCCTGTTCATAGGTCCCTGAGGGAAGTTGGGTGACAAGCTTGTGCCTTCTTGCCCCTCCACACGCCCTCTCTCCTGTCTCCTCTAGGGCATCTCTGGTGCCTATCTTCTCCTTTGGGGAGAATGACATATATGACCAGGTTGAGAACTCCCCTGGCTCCTGGCTGCACTGGTTCCAGGACCGACTTCTAAAGACCACAAGATTCTCCATCCCGCTCTTCTACGGCTGTGGAATTTTCCAGTACAGCTTTGGTCTTATGCCCTACCGCCAGCCCATCACCACCGTGGGTGAGCCTAGACCCAGGCTGGGAGGGGAAGGGCTACACAACAAGGGACTTGGGCTTGTGCTTCAAAGGGACATGTACAAAGGCCAGAAACATTCTTGACCTCATGGAACTCACGTTCTAGATTGAGAAACAGACACACAGGTCAATGTAAAGCAGTCTGGGGAGGGAACTCTAACTGAGGTAAACAGACCATTCGCCACTACTGATTTCTGAGCACCTACTGTGTAGCAGGCACTGCACTGGCTCCTTACATGCAACTGCTCAGTTTGTGCAACAACTTTGGAGGCAGGGACTATCATCCCCATTTTATCGATGGTGAATGTAGACTCAGAGAAAGTAAATCACTTCCAAAAGATCACCCTGCCCTTGAGTAAGGATGTTGAGATGTGAATCAGAATCTACTTGACTTTTATTATGCCAGAGAGGAGGGTTTGATTCTGACAGGAGAATCTCAAAAGGCTAATTGGAGCAGGTGAATACAAAGGAAGGGAATTCCAAATCTGTTAGTATTGTACATAAAATAGCAATCAGCAGGCTGGGAAGGAGAGCCTGGGGAATTTTCCTGTAAATAATGGGCATGGGCTTTAGTGGATGGACTTAGCAGGATCTCTTCAGCTATTCAGACATTTCATCTTGCTCTGGGCCATCACTCAGCTCTGCGTCTTGCAGGGGGGAAGCCCATCGAAGTGCAGAAGACACCACATCCCTCCCAGAAGGAGACGGACAGGCTGCACCAGTGCTACATCAGGGAGCTGAGCAACCTCTTCGAAGCCCACAAGCTCAAGTACAGCATCCCAAAAGACCAACACTTGAAGTTCTACTGAGTACCTCTCCAGAAGAGGGGCTGTCCCAAAGGGCAGGGTTGGCATTAGAGAGGGTGAAGGGAGGTGCTGTGATCCCAGAAGGTTTCCTGGAGATGTCTGTTGAACACATCTCCAGAGCCTTCACTGATTCTTGCATTTCCACTCCATGCCAGGCCCTGGGTCACAGCTAGCTCTATGACAAAGGAGACCAGACTGTGGCATCAGTGATTTGCTCTCCTGCACTGACTCCTCTGTAGTGGGCCCTCTCCTTGGTTCTGTCCACTTGAGAAACGGGAGAGATGCTTGGAGAGAATGATGTCTATGTCTCCATCGTCTGTGGTCCTGTCACTCAATGGGCAGGACAAGAGCAGCTCCAGTTAGTAGGTTTCTCTTCCTCTGCCTTGATTGACAGCACAGAAGCAGCCCCCAGGTGCAATTTTTTCTCAGAGAAACTCCTCCATCCTGCAACCTGCCTGTCCCAGCTCCTCCCTCCCTGAGATGAAGAGGAGGGTGAGGCACAACCCCATGACTTATCCTGGCACTTTTGAGTTTCTGAGTCCTCTGAGCCCCAGAGTAGCAGCCAGAGGAGCCGGGAAGTAGGGAAAGAGACTTGAGCTCTGTCACTGGATGAATGACCAGGGGCGGACCTCTTCACCCTCCGTCTGAGTCTCAGTCTCCCCAAGGGACTATGATGACCTCTCACCTCAGCTGTGATGTCACATGGACTGAAAGCTCCATGATGTGGCCACTACTCCTCATTTGTAACTTCAGCCTTGACCGTGACATAGAAGGGAGCTCCATAAATGTCAATTCATCAATGAAAAAATTGATTCAGTCTTCTTCTCTTTCTCCACCCTACTCCCCAACTGGGAACACTGGTCAAAGCCTCCCATTTAATCCCAGTCTGGCCCTGCAGCCCTACTGCCCTGTTTCCCCTTCCCAGATGTGGGATCCGAAGGGCCAGAGAATAGCATGTTACCTACTCCTCCCTGACCAGTCAGCTCCAACTTAGCACCTCTGGCCTGTTCTGTGGGAGACAAGGGGGAAGCTATGTACAGACACAGGGCAGACCAGCCAGAGAAGGAACATGAGGAATGAGTGTTCTGTGTCTGCAAGCAGGGCAGATGGGGACACGCCTCTGATGAGATGAATTTTGGGTCACTGGGTCTGCAACACACATCATGAGTGAGGGACATGATGGCAGGGTAGGGCCAGTACTGTGAACTCTCACATCTAGAGTAGGAAAGCAAGTTCTTTTCCTTCCAGAAGCTAATCACACCAATATGTACAAATGGAGGTGGGATTGTTTTGTGAATGTAAATTTGGGTCTAAGCCTGGCCCAGACCTTTTCAGTGACTTTGTAAGTCACATCCTTTTTAAAGCTCAGTTTTGTTTTCAGAGAAAAAAGCATCACAATTCATAGCTTGGGTTTATGAGTGGGAAAAATATTTTGAGATCATTGGTCATTCTCTGGCCTGTGAGGAGTAATGGGGAGTAGATGTAATTAGATTCTGGTTGTAAATGTGCCTAACATCTCATGATGACCTTTTCTGACCCTAAGAGGTGGGTGCTATAGCGTCCCAAGAGAGGCGGAAATCAAGAGCAGTGTGGTTCAGAGGGGTAGTGATGTGTTTCCACCAAGGAAGAGGGAGGAAGTGGCAGGTGGGCAGGACCATAAAGGATGGGCAAGATTTGCCAAGAGAGAAGTACCTACCCACTGCAGTTTTCTAGTACTGGGTATTGAACCAGTGCAGACATTAGTGGCTAAAGAGGGCAAGGATTTGTTATGTCCACATCTCTGTGGATGGCTGGATGGTTATTCTCAGAGTTCCTGCTCTCCCACCTGTAGTGTCCTGGGAACTGCTGATCTCTTTCCTTTGACTCCTTATCTCCTCAATTTGGTCAATCAAAGATCACCTCCTGGGACTTTTCTGGAGGTCCAGTGATTAAGACTTCATGTTTCTAATGCAGGGATGCAGGGAACTGGGATTATATCCTTGGCCAGGGATCTAAGAGCCTTCCCAGGTGGTGCTAGTGGTAGAGAACCCACCTGCCAATGTAGGAGAAGCAAGAGACATGGGTTCAATCTCTGTGTCAGAAAGATCCGCTGGTGGAGGGCATGTAACCCACTCCAGTATTCTTACCTGGAGAACTCCATGGACAGAGGAGCCTGGCAGGCTACAACCCACAGCGTCATAAAGAGTCAAACTTGACTGAAGTGACTTGGTACACTGTTGGGAGCCTCCGGGATGCACCCAGTCCATGACAAGGTCATGGGACAAGAAAGGAACCTGCAAGGCAGCTCTTCCCCTCGAGGTTGTCCCAGGGGCCTGGTATGTCCCTTTCTTCCTTCTGTCTTACTGTTGTTGGGCTTTCTATTAATTTTTGGAAATGATAATATATAGTAATAAGGCCTTGCTGGAAAAGTCCAAGCCTTTTTGGAAATGCTTAAGATTGCTCTGGCTCAGGACATGACCATAAATAAAAAGTCATAAAAGAAAAAGCCACAGGTATAGTTTGGCTGCTTGCTTAAAAGATTATAATGTTCTAGAATAGAAAAGAGTAGAGGTATTTAGATTTAGAAATAGATATACTGCTTTAGTTTACTTGCTCCTTGGTTGAAAGGGTTTTCACTATTGCTATTTCCTTGCTGCTACTTGTTCATTGTTCCCCTTTCTTTAAACAACATGGGATATTATGGGTATTTTTGTAAAAGTAGAAAATGGGGTATATAGGATTTTAATAGAAGATTTATATTAACCAGCTTTACTGCCATTATCCTATTATTAATAGAGGTGTTTTGCTGCTTTAAAGGTGTTTTTGCTGTTTAATAGTTAATCGTTGTAAATTGAGATTTTGTGGTTTTAGGTAAAGAAAAATATCAGGTTTTTCTCATGGTACTATTTTCAGAAATGTCAAATATGTTACTGTAACCCTTCCCATGTATTGTTTTATTGTCCAAAGAATTTACACTATACCTGAGATTTGTGAAACATTGTTTTTGTTAGAGTGAGAATGTTAGGCCATTGAGGCAAGAAGATTATATATGGGACACTTAAGTATAAACCCTGTAATCGGAAACGTTCTAGATGAATGCTTAGGGGAAAAACATGGGGAAAAAATATTGACAGAAGCACAAACCAATATCTGATGTAATATGTGGTGATTTAAGGGGGAGGTAACATTCATTCTATAAAAACTGAGCTATCCTAAAAATAAAAAAAAAGCTACCTCTTCTACGCAATGTCTGTGTGTGTGTGTCTGTCTGTCTTCTTCCTCGCTGACGCCACTCATCCCTTGGGTATTCCTGGTCCTGCCAGGGCTGGACCTCAGCAGTACACATGCATGCAGAGAAATAAAATCCCATATACTGCATGGCATGGCCAAAATAAATAACTGAAGTCAACTTCTTGTCAGATGTCAGCGCACATCCCCTAACCTGAAAACCTGCTCTCCCAACCCAGTGTCCTATATCACAGTTCAATTCATTTTAGTCTCTCGGTCGGGTTTGCAACCCCATGGACTGCAGCACACCAGGCTTCCCTGTCCATCATCAACTCCCAGAGCTTACTCAAACTCATGCCCATTGAGTCTGTGATGCCATGCTACCAGTTAGTTACTCATATTGTAGGCTAGCTTGGAGTGAAGAAGCCATGACAATAAGTAGGTGAGTGGTCAACTAGGTCCCCAGGGAACTGGAAGCACCTGAAGGTTCCAATTCAGTTCAGGAGGAGGCTGTCAACCTGCTCCAGAAGGGGACAGTTACAGAGCTTAGAGTGGGGCTGGAGGATCTACTCCCAAGCTCTTCCATGCAGTTGCTGGCAGGCTTCAGAGCCCTGTATGTGGGCCTCTCCATCACGCTGCCAATTGCTACTCACCAGGATTCTCCAGAGTAAGGCAGTCACAAAGTAGATAGAGCAAGAGTTCTAGGAGGCTGACACACACGCGTGCATGCACACACACACACACACACACACACACACACAGAAACTACATACCTTCTACAACCTAGTCTCTGAGTCATTCACCATGGATTCTGCCTTACTTTATCAGTTCCATGCAAGGCCCTAAGTCCAACTCACACTCCATAGGAGGGTGTGACTCCTGGAGTGAAGTAACTGAGGGTGTATTGCAGGCATTACCACAGCAGCCCACAAGCCCTTAGAGATTGGACTAGGCAACCCCAGTGCTGTGGGTGTTGCAGGAGGTTGTCTGCCTGGAGGACACAGGCTGAAATGCCCACACAGCAAGGCCCTAGGTGGGTCAAAGGTGTGAGCACAGGTCAGAGGTGGAAATCATGGCTGTGACCACAGGCCTGGATGGGATGTAGTACAAGGTGACCACCTTGGGCCTAGGGCACCTGGATTGGGGATGGGGACAGACTGGCTGGGCCAGAGAGAAGGGGATTGCCCCTTGTTCACAGTAACCTTGGAGGCCTCTACCAGCCAAACAAGGTAAGAGCGAAGAGACTGATCTCAGAAGAGGGTTATCTAGAGAGATACCTGAATAGAAATATCCCCACTGGACTTTTTGTGAACAGAAGTGTCCTTTTATGTGTTATGCACTGACACTAGGCTGTTTGTTAAGCAGTCAGCCTCCCCATGGATACAGAGAGCCAGGAGCTGCACAGCAAGGGTCCAATTCTACACAGCACCTGCTCCCTGACACACCCTGCTTGTCCCCAGCCTGCCTGAAGGGACTTGACCTTGTGAGAAGACTTCCCGCCAACACACAGGCTAACTCAGACAGCCCAAGGAGCATAGGAGGTGTCAGGTGTGGTAGAAAGGCTCAGAGGCCAACAGATTGGGCAGAGCTGGAGTCAGCTCCTGAAATCACACTGCCCTTTGACCTGGAAGAAGTTCTCAGACTTTATTGTCCACAGGAGACAAAGGACGTGCTGGGGCCCAACCTGTTGACACTGCTGGATGGTAATGGTGGGACAGCGGTCAGCCAGCACAGTTCTGCCACATGCCCTGGCCCAACCTTACCCTCTCAGGGAGACTGGGCTATGCTATGGATCAGGGGGAACAGAGAAATTAAGTATTTCCTGCCATATCAGTAAACAAGGATGTCAGTCTTCAGCAATTGCAGATTTCCAATGTGAGCTGGTGAACCCTAAGGAAACTCAGGAAGAAGAGGAATACCTGCCACCTAGCAACCATCAGACTATAGGCATTCCCTATAGTGAGCCCCAAGGAAGCTCAGGATGTGAAAAATACAGGACGTGCCAAGTCACTTCAGTTGTGTCTGACTCTTTGCAACTCTATGGAGTATAGCCCACCAGGCTCCTCTATCCACGGGATTCTCTAGGCAAGAATACTTGAGTGGGTTGCCATGCCCTCCTCCAGGTCATCTTCCCAACCCAGGGATCGAACCTGCATCTCTTGCTTCTCCTACATAGGTAGGTGGGTTCTTTACACCAGCACCATCTGGGAAACTCTACTGGGCCAGAAAGCTGAGATGCATAACAAAAGGATGATTTCAGTGAACCTAGACTCTTACATCTTCCCATATATAGAAAAGTGCTAAATTCCTTAATTTGGGCTATCTGGTTTTCTTTAATTAACAATAATATTTTGATGTTCAGACTAGCTGCCCTTTGCTGCAAAACTTACATAACCTGGCTTCTTACCTCACCTCCTCTGAGCAGTTCTCTCAGGGTTACTTCAGAT